ATTGCTTATCTGTACTTGTGTATACCCTAATTTGAATTCCTTGCTAAGACATATTATGTCTTCAGGATTGTTTTGACTGTGGGCTCTTCCATTTCAGGTGCTTACCTCCCAGAAAGCAGCACAGTAGATCCTGACGTCTATTTCTCAACAGTAAGCTCCAGTTTCTCAGTGTCTCCTCTCTACATGGGAGCTGAAAGTGAGGTGGAGGTGCCCATTGAACTGCTCCGACAGCTCCTGGCAATGGTACAGTAGCCCACTCCCCATTTACCAAGATACTGCAGATGTTGTCTCTCATCTGGTATACATACAGAATATCGCATCTTTATCTGTTGTTGTGTATGTTGTCGATTTACAGGTGAAGAAGTTTGTTTCTGACTCGTTTTTGAATGCTCTCAACGACACTATGACTGAAGTTACAGAGGTAACTATTTTAACAAACATTGTAAATGCTGATTTTTAAAGTTAAATTGCTGCCAGTTAAATAATCTTATATGTAATTTTCTTTTCTGTTTGTTGTTAAGTCTAATCCTGGAATCAACCTCTATTACAAAACCTTCAGTGACACTCTCTATGTGTGTGTGTTCAAAATGCTGCGGGACACACTATACTACATGAAAGGTAAAGCATCATAAATAGCTTATTTGTTCTCAAGACACACAGTCAGGATCAGGCGTTTTACTGTGGCTTATCAAATGGGGACCTACATTTCTCTTCATGTTTCTCAGACCTGCAGCCAGCATTCGTACGGCAGGTGCATGACTTTGTACTGGAACAGTTCAGCAGCAGTCAGTCGGAGCTGCAGCGGGTGCTCCATGACGCGGTCGGCGTGACGGTGGAACAGAGCCCCCTCAAGCTCCGTTGCCAAGCCAACGCTGCCTGCGTAGACCTCATGGTGTGGGCAGTCAAAGATGAGCAAGGTAATTGTAGCAGAGCCTGAGCCTAGCATTGTGTTCAGATGTCATGATCAGATACTGGATTGTGTTTATTTATCCTGGTTATATCCATTGTCTTTCCTGGTTCCTTTTTTTATCAAGGCGCTGAGAATCTTTGCACCAAACTATCAGAGAAGCTGCAGTCGAAAACATCCAGTAAAGTCATCATCGCTCACATGCCACTGCTCATCTGTTGCCTACAGGTATAAGAATACGTTAACTGTTACAGATACTAGTTCATCTTTTTTGTTTCCAAAGTTACTTGACTAAAAGAAAAGAAAATATTTAATATCGGTTATCCTGGTGAATAAATGGGCTAAATCACACGATTGCCTGGTATGAAACTGAAAAACTTGCATATCGTATGTTTTCTTTTCTTTTTTGAGTATTACATTTTTCTTTTTTCCGCTTGCCTCTCCCTCTGTTTTAGGGTCTGGGTCGTCTGTGTGAGAGGTTTCCAGTAGTTGCTCACTCTGCCACAACCACTCTCAGGGATTTCCTGGTGGTTCCATCCCCTGTTCTTATAAAGCTCTATAAGTATCACAGTCAGTACAACACAGGTACAGATATTTATTTACTATTTGGGGTAAACCAGTGACTCCTGTTTGAAACTCAAATGAGTAAGCCTATAAATGGCTACACAGCGGCTGTAGTTTTGGAATTTGATAATTACCTTTCAACAGCATGTAGATTTCACAATTTGAATAACATTTACCTTCTTAAAAAAGTGAATGTATCGAAGATATATCCAGCATAAACCTCTTAATCCTTAATACAGCACACATGATCAGAGCCAAAAGTGAACAGGAGTAAAGTGCTGTAGCTGATGACAATACTGTTATGTCAATAACAGCGTCATTGTACATTCAGCCCTCATCTACTATTGATCTTAACAGAGAGTTCATTGATGAGCTGCTATAATTACAGACAACCGGAAATGCATTCCAGGATTTTCAGTAGTTGCTCATTTGTTAGATTATTAAATATGTCATGCCCAATTTGTTACTACAATTAGCCTTTTTATTTTCTGTGCAGGTTCATGTTTTATGCAATGTTTAAAATCGTAAAAGGTTCCAAATAGCTTGTTTTAATGCTCTTTTTGTTGATGTTTCTTGCTTTGTGTTCTTACTTTTTAAGCCACTGGAGATATCAGGATAAATGTGACTAATGAGCACTTTCAGTCTACCTTCAACCTGCTGTCAAACAGGAAAGATCAGCCGTCAATGTACGAGCAGCTCAGAGACATTTCCATTGACAACATATGCAGGTCAGACACAAACACTCGCTATGATAATAAAATATGATTTTATGGTGTGTTTATTTACACAAATTGCTCATCTTTTTAATCCCTGTTCCATTTCTTCTCTAAGATGTCTGAAAGCTGGCCTGACCATGGATAATGTGATAGTGGAGGCTTTTCTGGCTAGTTTGTCTAACCGACTGTACATCTCACAGGAGAACGACAAGTGAGCAACACCATTGGTTGAAATAAAAATAGCTCCATTGTGCCTTTTATATCAGTGGAGATTTTGAAATCCTTGACACTACAGCTGCTGTAAATATAAAACTTGTCTTTCTGCCAGGGATGCCCATTTGATCCCAGATCACACTATTCGAGCACTGGGTCACATTGCAGTGGCTCTGAGAGACACTCCTAAAGTCATGGAGCACATCCTACAAATCCTTCAACAGAAGTTATGCCAGCCTCCATCCCAGCTGGATGTACTCATCATCGACCAGCTGGGCTGCATGGTCATTACAGGAAATGTGAGTTCAAAGATACAATACTGACACATTTTTTGAGAATTTTGCCTCCATTATTGAATGTGTTTTGGCTGAAAAGGGCAAAATGTAACCAACATGGAAATATTTAAATGTGTAAACCCCTGTTATAGTTGGAGGGGAAATGCAGTTATTTGCGTGAGATTGACATGTTAATTACAGTTGCCTAAAAGAAGCAATGCTACCCTTGTTTCTTAACCCAGAGAGGCTGGCATGCCACAATTACTAGGAATCTGACGGCTGCTGTTTCCTTGCTCAGTGCTTTGTGCATTAATAATAGGTTCCAGTGTTCTGCTATGGGGGGGGTTGACGGCGGAGTACCCAAAGTGCAATAGACAACAGTTAACAAAGGACTGGAAAAGGGGCTGACTTCATGCAGCAGACACTTGCTAATAATTTGGTAGCCAATAGAACGATCCAACCTCTTCAGTCGTGATATTTATATCTGGGCTCTGGGAATCAGCCAATACATATAGTGTATATGTATATAATGTATACAGTGTTTCATTGTTAAGCTGTATGCCTCACTGTTTGAACTTGACTGGGATCATTATTTTTTGTGTCAAACAACATGGCTTGACTTAAACATTGCTTTCCTTACTTTGTATTATTATAATGTAACAAATACATTGATATACATTTATATATAGTTTTTATTTATTTTTCAAATGTTCAATTGTACACCAGCTACCTGGTAAGAGTCTTCAAAGCAAGACATACAAATGTCAGTATATCATATACTACTTGTAAAATAAGAACATAGTTTTAAATCAGCCCCATTGTCATCGATTCCAATCCAGCTATTTGAGTCAGTTTTGGAGGATCCCTAAAATTATTGGATTTAAAAATGTTTTTATAAGCTAACACACACATTTTCTTTCAATTTCTTGCCTTCACAGTTTTACTCTAACGTCTGTTGGTCTGTCCTGTAGCAATACATCTACCAGGAGGGGTGGAACCTGTTCCAGCAGATCAGTGTGAAGGCCAGCTCAGTGGTCTACTCCTCTACCAAAGACTACAGAGACCACGGCTACAGGTCAGCATCTGCTTTACCCTGTTCACAGATCTACCAGCTTTCCCAGCTTTGTTCATCTTTGCCACTGCTACTTAATTGAAGTAGATTATAAGAGCATATTCTCCTACATTTCTGTTACATCATGTGTTCTGCTATAATCTTTAGAGCACATTCGATATAGAACAATATCATTTGGTTTGTGTCTACATTTACTTTGTTAAACTGTCCCCTCATCTATCCTGTGTTTTGCCCCCAAGGCACTGCTCTCTGGCAGTGATAAATGCTCTGGCGAACATCGCAGCCAACCTGCAGGGGGAGCAGCTGGTGGATGAGCTGATGGTGAACCTTTTAGAGCTGTTTGTTCAACTAGGCCTGGAAGGAAAGAGAGCCAGTGAGAGGGCCTCAGACAAGGGGCCAGCGCTGAAAGTAAGTGCCTAAATACACTGAACAAAAATATAAATGCAACACTTTTGTTTTTGCTCCCATTTTTCATGAGATGAACTCAAAGATCTAAAACACTTTCTATATACAAAAAAATAACCATTTCTCTCAAATACGGTTCACAAATCTGAAAAAATCTGTGATAGTGAGCACTTCTCCTTTGCCGAGATAATCCATCCCACCTCACAGGTGTGGCATATCAAGATGCTGATTAGACAGCATGATTATTGCACAGGTGTGCCTTAGGCTGGCCACAATAAAAGACCACTCTGAAACGTGCAGTTTTGCTTTATTGGGGTGGTCTGGGGGGGTCCGAAAACCAGTCAGTATCTGGTGTGACCACCATTTGCCTCACGCAGTACAACACATCTCCTTCGCATAGAGTTGATCAGGTTGTTGATTGTGGAATGTTGGTCCACTCCTCTTCAATGGCTGTGCGAAGTTGCTGGATATTGGCAGGAACTGGAACACGCTGTCGTATACGCCGATCCAGAGCATCCCAAACATGCTCAATGGGGGACATGTTAGGGTTAGGGTTAAACTGACTGGTTTTCGGACCCCCCCAGACCCCCCCAATAAAGCAAAACTGCACGTTTCAGAGTGGCCTTTTATTGTGGCCAGCCTAAGGCACACCTGTGCAATAATCATGCTGTCTAATCAGCATCTTGATATGCCACACCTGTGAGGTGGGATGGATTATCTCACTATGCTCACTATCACAGATTTGTTCAGATTTGTGAACAATATTTGAGAGAAATGGCTATTTTGTGTATATAGAAAAGGTTTTAGATCTTTGAGTTCATCTCATGAAAAATGGGAGCAACAACAAAAGTGTTGTATTTCTATTTTTATTCAGTGTACATCTAAAGTCTAAACACAACAGGAAGTTGATAGCAGCAATGTTGGTAGATTGCTAATCCCTCTTTGTCTCCCTCAGGCATCAAGTAGTGCTGGAAATCTGGGAGTCCTCATTCCAGTGATTGCTGTGGTGAGTGTGTGATTTCTATAAAAACTGCTGCACCTTTGGAGACAATTTCCATTAATTTAAAACAAGAATTTGTGTTGCAATACCCACCCAGAGCACAGTTAAATCATCTACAGCATGCGAGAGCTTCAAGCGAATCCAATTGTTTAGTGAGCAATTATCTCTATCGACAAATATTTACCCTGTTAGCTCCTGTACAAATATCTGTGCCACGAGTTCACTGCCGGAGGTTATTAGAACTATGCTTTCTTACTATTAACCTGTCATTACATGAGGTAAGTTATATGAAATTGGTTTTGTATTAAATATATATGTTTATGTGTATAGAAAAAAATACTCCTTTTTTTCGTTAACACTCTTATTTTCATAGACATACCTATCTAGTACATTTATATATTAGTTTAATACCCCTTTATTGTTTTTTATTTTGTCTTTCTGCAATTATTACAGTTCGGCATTAGGGTAATGACAGTCATACAATATCATCTCTTTTTAGCACATTTCTCCTCTTGCCTCATTGGAAAAGATAAAACATTAACAGAGAGAAAACAAATACCCGTTGAGTCACTCCAACAGGGTCACAACACAGAATTTGAAAAAATAATGACTTGATGTTACATGTAACAAACTAATAGAAGTAATTATGAAACAAAACAACACCCCAGCTATTATAGGGTTGTATTATATCATAGTGTTTAGGATGGGTGTTCTGACCAAACATTGACTGTCTGGTATATTTTAGCCATTTATATATTATACTTTTGGGTAAAGTTTAGTTCTGTGAAGGGTTGACGACCCGACCCATGAACACAAGGCAGTCTGTGCGATGTTCGTAGATCAGGAAGAGGAAGGGACGGTCCACAATGAAGCGGATCTGAGAGGAGAGGGGCATGAAGCCCACCTGGGTCAGAGCAGCAGCCTCAGTCCCCTCTTCGTTCACAGTGATGGTTCCCTGGTGCTTCAGCTGTGGGGGAGACCAGGAAACTTCCATTATTTTAGAAAGACTTTGCATTGCCCACAACAACATCAACACTTTATTTTGATATGTGCCTCATGAAAGATTAACTCTTACTCACCCAGTTCATGGAAATATTTTCAGTGGTCATTCCAGAGAAATCTCCACTCTCCTGGAACAAGTCAGTGAGGCCCATCTCCTTCAAATTGGGAATCAAGTCATAGTTCTGCTCCAGTTTAAAACGAGGTAACACCACCTCTCGAGTCCTGGAGGAAGGCATAAACAAGTTTCCTCATGGTTTAGTTTTTAAATATCCGCTAGTTCTAAACATTTTCACCAGAGCGTTAAACTAAAAAGAAGAACTGTGTGCTTTCTTAGCTATCCGGTTCAGGAGAATGCTGCTGACCTGTTTGTCATATTTTTGATCCACTTTTCGACAACTGTGGGAGAGATCTCCTGCTCCAAAGTCCTCATGCCAGTGATCTTTGTAGGCAAGGCAATGAGCATGCTGATTTGTCCTGTGTAGGGGAGCTGAGAAGAAGAACGTTTACGTCATTGTTATGCGGCACAGTAGCGTTTTTATGTCCACTATTCGAACGCCAAGTAAAACATCTTTTTAGTGTGAGGCCACCCACCTGTAGGATGTCGCACTCTAGTTCATGGTCGGAAGCAGCAAGATAGTTCCCCTTGTTGGTCATCATTGGCACGCGAACATTTGTCTTTTCATTAACTCGGAAGTTGCGATAGTGAGTCATTTCTTTGGGGAATTTCTGTTCCCATGTACCTTATTATACAAACAAATAGTCATACGTTAACTTTGCGATACGAATAACCAAAGAAACCAGACAAATGTTATGTTTGCCTCTTAAAGAAGTGAATGGACAGTTGACTCACCTTTGAAGTACAGGTAGTTGAGCAGCATCAGCACCATGTTTGGGTCCACACTCTTGAGCCCTTCCTTGATCAGCCCTTTGGTCAGCTTTTGGATGCGGTGATTGGCCTTCTTCAGGAAGGCCTGGTCCCTGAAATCCACTGACTGCGGCTCTGCAAAATAATAAGCCTTTGTCTCTGTGCGGAAACTATCTTTCACCACGACATCCTTCTTTACGTAGACATCGTTCACGGAGCGTAGCGTGTAGCCAAAGTTCCTCCTGAAGAGCCTGTGCGTCAGCTTCCTGAACAGCTTGTGCACTGTTGTGTTGTCGTAGTGATGGCTAGCATTGACAAACTCTGCGAATCCCAAAGCTTTGTAGATCTGATCCTGGGTTCCCGGTCCTGCTCCTAAAGACATCATCCCCATGGCAACAGATATACCAACAGGGGCGAGCAGGATGTTGTCGGTCTGGTTGACGTCATTACGAAGACTTCTATAGAGGTTGAAACCGAAATGTGCGTTAACAATGTTGAGGCGTTGGAGGCGAGAGCGAGCGTGGAACAGCCGCAGGAGTCTAGCCCGGCGGATCTTTGGGTCGGAGGGTTCGGCAAAGATGTCGATGTCCGGGGCGGGGGTGGCGATCTCATCTATCTCATCCCCTTCACTGAAACATAAAAGAAACTCGTAATCCATAAATTCACTGATAGAATGACTCTATATTTGTTTTAAAAGACCTTTGAATTATACAGTAGCTGCTTTAAAGGTCACTGATCATTTTGTTATGGTTGAACATTTTATTCTACACAATTCAAAAGTTTATATACAATTTCATACATATACATATTTACAGCAATGACGACAGAAAAATATCATCAAGTATAAAACAGACAATTTACAAGTAAATAATAAGAGTTGTCTCTGTCAGGCCTACAAAAAGCATTTTTTTTACTTCATTTCTTTACACCTCAAGTGTTAGTACTCACGTATAGTCGTCATCACCCGCTGCCAGGATCTTATCAAAATCAATATAATCTTCATCCTCAAAATCATCAAAAACTAGGTCATTAGTGACAGTGTTTTCTTTGTGGAACTCCAAGGGGATGTCCTCAATATCCACTGCCCCCCCAGACTCAAAGCCTCTGGGGACCTCTTCAGGGTCAGCGAAGTGAGAGCTGAGCTCTTTGATCTCAGCATGGGACGGACTGACCAGCAGGCAGGCCACAGAGAGGACTGAGATGACCCACATGCTGAAGTCTGAGGCAGAAGGAATAGACATTTAGTTTGGCCTAATTAATAATCTGATCAACATTTAGAAGATTCGATAAATATCCGTTTAAATAACTCTGTAGGATCAAAGTTATCAAAGATGTATTGAAGGTTTTAGGTTAAAACTATCATAAAAGCTGTTTATTTCTGTAAATCTCTTACCTTTACTGTGTACTGCTGGGAAGTGCTCTGTTGCTTCTGTTTGTGGGACTAAGAGCAACGAATTGAATACAGAACTGAACTTTGATATGGGCTTCTCCTGAACAAATAGACCAAATCAAACAGAGCAAAAAGTGCTGTGACTGACTAAAACTCTTCACAATTCAGCAAATACAATCAATACTCATTCACTGGTGAAGGGCTAGTTGTCTGGTAGGAGTTTTATGCAGTTGTTAATGTAACTGTTATTTGTATATCTTTATTTAATACAATGAGCAGCATATCGAAAAAAATGTAATCTGATGTATGTATTTGAAGGACTTCTTTAACAAAGTGCGTTAGTTCGAGTAATGCATTTTTTAATTTACATTATATTCGTACTCACAGTTGACCAGACGACTTCCACCAATCAAAGAGGCCAAGCCCAGGCTCCAGAAGCTCTTCAGGGACTTCTGGTTGTACTCGGTGGTCATGGGTTTTGCTGTGGAAGGATCAGGTGAGCAAGAGGAACACTTCCAGAAGTACCCTGAGTTTGTTCACTGAGTCCATAGCTTCCCAAATCCTTCCCTGTTTAATGTAGATGTTTTGTAACTCAGCTGTGCAGATGTGATGAAACACCTTAAATAACATTTCGGAAATATATATCATGCCAAATGGGTAGATTTGGACAGATGTTGACAGATGTATCTACCTAAGTACAACCAAAAACCCAAATACAACCAAAAACATACTGAAGAGTGTATTATCAGTTACTGCAGTCCACTGACTCCCTGTATTTCTGGATGTGGATGTACTGTATGTGGATGTATGACTGGACACACTAACAGTCCATCTTCAAATCTACAAAGACTATCTCCAGCAGTGCAGTAACGCACTCAAAGCAGCCCGGTCTAATTACTACTCACAACTCATTCAGTCTGGCTCCAGCAACCCCAAGCGTCTGTTCTCCACCATCAGCAACTCCACCTGCACACTTGACCCAATGCCCTTGGGCATTATATTATTATTATTATTATTATATATACTTGTTTTTTCAGGGCTTTGGCCAGAGGAGTGGTATGAAGGTGTGTGTGAGATTGCCACCACGTCTCCTCTTCTCACCTTCCCCAGTGGAGAACCTCTTCGCTCCGAACTGCAATACAACTCTGCCCTGAAGAATGATACAGTCACGCCGGTACAGGGTTCAAAATCCAGACTTTTTTTGTAGTGAGGTATTTAAAAAATACTTTGGAATCCAGTTACAACAGGAATATTGTTTAAATCTCCATCTCTGTCCACCAGGCTGAGTTGAGCGAACTGCGATCGACCATCAGCAATCTTCTCGACCCGTCTCCTGAAGTCTCTGCCCTCATTAACAAGCTAGACTTTGCCATGTCCACATACCTGTTGTCAGTCTACAGACTAGAATACATGAGGTCAGCTCCTTTACACTCATGTGTCTGGTAAACATTTAAGTGTTTTAATCATTTAAGTCAAATCATGAAACTTTGTAATATTTATTTTTCAGGATGTTGCGATCCAATGATCCTGACAGGTTCCAGGTCATGTTTCGATACTTTGAAGACAAGGCCATCCAGAAAGACAAATCTGGTAAGCGCTTAACAACCGTCCATCTCCGGCTGTTCTTTCCCCTCGTGTCGTCTAAGTCATTTTCTCCAATGCCTTTTTTCTCTTCTCAGGCATGATGCAGTGCATCATTTGTGTTGGCGATAAGGTGTTTGATGTCTTTCTCCTGATGATGGCTGAGAAGGTAGTTAAATTGAATGTCATCGATCCTTATGTTTAATTTTTTGGTATCATTGAATTACAATTAATGCATTCTTATCATGTTATTAGCCCAAGACCAAAGGGCATGAGGAGGAATTAGAGCGACATGCCCAATTCTTATTGATCAACTTCAACCACACCCACAAGAGGATCCGCAGAGTCGCGGACAAATACCTTTCTGGTTTGGCTGAGACGTAAGTGTTGATGAAAGTTTGGCCTCCATCATGGTTTATACAGTTTCATATTTATTATGTGCTTTATCTCTACCAGATTCCCCCATCTGCTTTGGAGTGGTCGTGTGTTGAAGACCATGTTGGACATCTTGCAGACTCTCTCGCTGTCACTAAGTGCTGTGAGTACTGGTGTGGAATATTTAGTGGTGGCCAGTAACTCATCAATTATAATACAATAAAAATTATTCTGAAATGTCTTGTTTTGCAGAATGACTACTTTTACTTTTTGTACATTTAAGTATGTTTTAGGATCCTTATAGTTTGTACTTTTATGAGTGTATATATACGTTTTTGAAAGCATTACTTTTAATTTTAACAGAGTATTTCTACACTGAACTATTGCTACTTTTTGATAAGAACTTCATCCACTTTGGTGAATATTTTCCTCTTTTCTGTTTATTTAGGATATCCACAAGGATCCGCCTTACTATGACATCCCAGACACTCCGTACAGGATCACTGTTCCTGACACCTACGAGGCCCGAGAGGTGAGTTTAGACTGGTATTACACTGATGACCATTAGAGGACAGCAGAGTATCAGTTTTAAAGACAGTAGTGGTCTCTTACTTCTCACTCTGGATTGTTTCATATGTTCATCAACTTCATTTGCGTTTAATTAAATGTGTTGTGTCCATGTTACATCATTTATATGACTAACTGAGCTTATTATAATTATGAAAGAAGAGTCTGCCTAATTAAGATTTATTTGAAATTTGATTCTCCAAAAACCCCTCTCTGAATTTATGAACACAATTATGGTTTCTTTTTCTCCTTGCAGAGCATAGTGAAGGACTTTGCTGCCCGCTGTGGTGAGATCCTGAAAGAGGCAATGAAATGGGCCCCTTCAGTCACCAAGTCCCACCTACAGGTGAGTTCCTTCTCCTTTATTACCTCAGAGTGGAGATCTTCTCTTTGAGGTCAGAAAAATCTGCAGATATGGGAATTGTAGCTACTTTTAATTTAGTCAAACAAAACAGAAGTGTCTATACAGTAAGTAAATCTAAAAAAGTCAGTGATGATCTTAATGAAAGTTAAGATACCATAAGTCTTAACTTCACTTCTGACTTTGGTTTTGTTTGTAATTTAAGCAATCAGTTTAATTACTTATAGAAGTAAAACAGAATACCTAAAATAACTTGAATTAGTTTTTTGAAAGAAACAGTTCATTGTATATCTTTAATGGATCAATGTCCCTAATATTCTGCATCTCTAAGTATTTCCTGTTTACTCCCTTTTTCTGCTGTGCAGGAATACTTGAACAAGCATCAGAACTGGGTATCAGGACTGTCCCAGCACACCGGCCTGGCCATGGCCACGGAGAGCATCCTTCACTTCGCAGGCTACAACAGACAGAGTACCACACTGGGCGTGAGTCTCACACACATTAAGGCATCTTGTAGCTTACACTCAATCCCTTTCCTTACTTAAAGAAGGTGTTATTCCAACAACATTAATGGTGATAATCAAATAAACATTAACATAAATAAACACAACAACACAAGCACAATTTCTGATTTTACAGCCTTACCAAAGATTTTGAAGTACAGTCAAACATTGTTCAGAGCATTGAGGATGCTTCAGGTTCCTACCTTTGGCCCTACAGGCTTTTTAATTTGTTGCTTACTAACATTATCCAACATGGCTTTTTCAGTTAAAACATTTGCTATTTATTTACTTCAAAATAGTCTAAGCCTTTGCAGTTTTGTTAATACTGAACAGAAACGCCTTGTATCTGTTTTACACATATATGTGTTTTCTATATTGCATAGCCTTTTAAACATTGTGAGTCTAATTGTTTAGTTGCTTGCTTTCAGCATCGTTTGTCCATGTGTGCATGCTTACTAGTCTGTATGACATAATTTTTGCTTGCTATACATTGCCTTTATGTTCTTGGGCTTGAATTCTGCTATATGTGTCTTTTCATTTGCTTCATTTGTTTTATTTTGTCTTTATTAAACTGCTCCGAACTACCTACCTGGTTGCTTGGCTGGTTTGCGGATTTGCTGGTTGCCTGGTTACTCACCTGCAATGGACTGGTGGGTTGGTTGGCTGGTGGCCCATTTGGCTAACTGGTTATGCTGGTGCTGTCCTCCACCATGTGGCCAACCATAGGCTGCTTTCCCTCAGGTTGGTCTGAACTCTAAATGCAGAGAGTCAGGGCTCAGGCACGATACCTTCAGTATAGCAAGTGTTAGGGTACAGCTACGTTTCTACTTTTGCTAGCTTGGGACTGTGTGGCCCTATGTGGCCCCTAACTGTGTTTGTCATCAGACCACCCAGCTGACAGAGAGACCAGCATGTGTGAAGAAGGACTACTCCAACTTCATGGCGTCCCTCAACCTGCGCAACCGCTACACAGGAGAGGTGAAGTTCTAAAGGGACAGTTCACTCCAAAATTGGAAAATACATATTTTTCCTCTGATCTTTACTGCTATCTTTCAATAGAAAGATTGTTTTGTGTGAGTAAATATCATCCATAGAGATGTCTGCACTCTTTCCAATATACTAGAGCTAGATGGCACTCTGCTTGTGTTGATCAAATTGCAAAAAAATACACAACAATTCTACAGCATTTTCTTCATCATGAACCAGTTACTCATGTAAGAACAATTTGTGTTGTATTGAACTACAAACCGGCAACTGTATTTCCACTCAGAGGGAAGCGTGCACCTACTAATTTGAGTGCCATCTAGATTTTATTTGAGACATCTTTACAAGCTATAAATCTCCATCTCCAACACTCGTCATACCAAAACCAAACAACTAGAATGATAAATAGCACTGCAGATAAGAGGAAACAAATGTATTTTTGATTTTGGGGGGAAATTACCCTTTTTAATATTTCAAAATTAAGACTTTCCTTGGCATGTAGTATGATTCAAACCGGTCTGTTTTATGATCTGTGTAGGTGGCTGGTATGATCCAGTTCTCAGAGGCGACTCACAGCCAGTCAGACCTCAACAAGCTGATAATCCTTCAGATGACCAGCGCTCTGGACAGGAAAGACCCAGAGGCCTTCACCCAGTCCATGTTCAAGATGGCCGCTC